TTCTTTGTAGCTTAAAGAGGAGTGGTTTGGGGGGAGTAAAAATGCATCTTAAACATGATTTTACTGCCCCCCAACCTGAAGTGCGAACAAGGCCTAACTCTTTTTCTTTTTAACAATAAAAATGTTGACTACAACCTGCTTCTGTATGTATAGATAAACTTTTTTTTATGTCAGTATCCCTGTGGGGATTGTGACATCTCACTTGGATGATTTACCCTCGCTGATTGCTGTGGTGGAAACAAGTTTGGATTTCCCATTACTTTTTGTTTCTGTGACAATGGTCATTAGGACAAGCATGGAAATACATTTCTTAACCACTTGCCCACCACTCTATAGTAGAACTACTGCTGCAGGGCTGCGCAAAATCACATATATATGTGGTTTGCATTTCCGGGTAGGGGGTGCTCCATTGGCGGCTAGGCATGTCAATCACCGGGTCCCAGCCAGAGATTCCCTGTTGGCATCCGGTGATTGTCATGTGGAACTGACAGGGGAGAGACCTGTTTGTAAACAACACAGGTCTCTCTCCTGCTAGCAAGGACATGCTGCTGTGTATTTCTCTGCACATCAGAGAAATACACAGCAGCATGTCTCCCTAGTAAAACACACACAGAACATCTTGTAAAACAAACTCAGCACACTGTTAACCCTTTGATTGCCCCAGATGTTTACCCCTTTCTGCCCAGTGTCATTAATACAGTGTCAGTGCTCTTTATTAGCACTGATTACTGTATTAGTGTCATTGGAATGCCAGTGGCAGTTAGTCAGTTCCCACCCAGTGTCAGAATGCCCTCCGCAGTCCTGATATATATCGCTGCCATTACTAGTATAAATAAAAATAAAAATTCCAGTATCTATACCGCCATTTGTAGACACTATAACTTTCATGTAAACCAACTAATTTACATGTGTTGTCATTTTTTTTTAGCAAAGACATGTAGCAGAATACATTTTGGCATACATTTTTGAAGAAATTAGATTTTTTAAATTTGTTCACTGGATGTTTTATAGTAAAAAAAGTAAAAAATATATATATTTTTTCAAAATTTGACGGTCTTTTTTTTTGGTTATGGCGCAAAAAATATAAACCGCACAGGTGATAAAATACCAACAAAAGAAAGCTCTATTTGTGGGAAAAAAGGACGTAAATTTAATTTATGTACAGCGTTGTATGACCGTGCAATTGTCAGTTAAAGTAACGCTGCGCCATATCGCAAAAAATGGCCTGGTCGGGGGGGGTGTTAAATCCTCTGGAGGGCAAGTGGTTAAAAAGACACACATATAGCTATGAAAACATTACAGATAATCTAACCCTTCTTCACTCCATTCATAAAGCAAAATTCAGTTTTCTTTTTTGTTTAACCATTTTTGTTCATATACTAGCTTAGAAAAAAAATTAAGCAGGAAATTCAATAAGTATACCAAAAAAGCCTGAAATGCCTTTAAAACTGTAAAAGTTATTTAGGTGTCAAGGTAATTAATGCATAATTATACTGTTAAATGTGCTCTGAACATTTAGGTATCATTAACCTTTGGTTATAAAAGAGTTGATTTCACTTTAAATAGTCAATCAGGTTAAGCAGAAATTATTGATAGGAGCAAATGCCTACCAAACCTTTAAGAGAAATTCAAGGAATGGTGTTATTCCCAAGTTTTTTTTTTTCACTAAGTCAGTTTGTTAATAATCAAAGCTCAAGTTATACAGTATGTCATTTACAGTATTTGTTGCGTCTTAAATGTTTTCATTTTGTTTTTATTGTAACATTTCACCCTTCCTTAACTAGTTTTCAAGTTAATGACATATGCAAACCATTTGCCAAATGCTGAGATTGGAATTTACAAAAAGGCTTAATTTTTGCACTGTGTAACACATCCCTTGTAGAGAAATAGCAGTCATTTTCATGGTAGACTTGAACATCTGTTCTTTTTTGTTCAGTTAATTGATGTAGGTCTTCAGTTTTGTAACTGAACCTTGGAAAATTGCCCAGTGCTGGGATGGGAATTGTTTCTTATTGTGTTTATTCAGACTCATTAGTTCTATGTTAGGTTTATTTATTTATTTGTGCTGGTGTATTTGTTTTCTTTGTATACATACTGTATACAGTTAGCTATTTTATAAGTACATTTCTTGCTTTTTTTATTAAATTTCAATAGAATTCTTCCAAATCGTAAAGAAATGTGCATTAAAAAATAGATTAGCATCACCAACAAAATGGTGCTACCTTTAAAAATATCGCTGTTACCTAAATCATACAACATGAAAATTAAATTTTAGTAAAGCCCGGCGTTTTTATTTATTTAAACGTTATGCTCTAAGAATATGTATGCCACCAGACATTGGAGAATTGTTTAAAGAACTTGCCTACCGGGCAATTATACCCCCTTCCTTACCAGGCCAATTTTCAGCTTTCAGCGCTGTCGCACTTTGAATGACATTTGCGCAGTCATGCAACATTGTACCCATATGAAATGTTTTTCTCACATATAGAGCTTTATTTTGGTGGTATTTACTTGCTGCTGGGTGTTTTACTTTTTGCGCTATAAACAAAAAAATTGCAAACAAATGAAAAAAAAAAGTTTTTTTGTTTCTATTATACAATTTTGCAAACAGGTAATTTTTCTCCTTCACTGGTGTGCGTTGATGAGGCTGCACTTATAGGTGGCACTGATAGGTGGCACTGATAAGCAGCACTAATGAGATGGCATGGATAGGTGGCACTGATAGGCAGCACTGATGATGGGTACTGATAGGCGGCACTGACTGGCGGCACTGCTGGGCACAGGTGGGTGGCACTGCTGGGCACAGGTGGGGGGCACAGGTGGGTGGCACTGATGGGCACAGGTGGGCGGCACAGGTGGGCTGAACTGGTGGGTGGCACTGCTGGGCACTGATCATCAGGGCACTGATCATCAGTTCCTTGATGATCAGTGCCAATCCCTGCTCTGACAACTGCCGGTTCTCGGCAATACTTTCCTCACGTTCTGACAGCGTGAGGAAAGTGCTGCCGAGAACCAGCAATTGCATTTCCCTGTAATCAGCATCATTGGACATGGCTAATCACATGGTAAAAGGTCGCTGTGATTGGCCTTTTACCACATTACGTGATCAGCTGTGTCCATAGGACATAGCGATCAAGGACGTCAAGGACGTCATATGACGCCCTCCCAGAACTGGCCGGCCGCAGTGCAGCCGTCATTCAGCTATCTGCGGTCGGCAACTAGTCAATTTCTTATTACAAGGTTAATTTCTCTAAATTGCTGACTTTGGATTTGAGCACCACAAGTTTTACTCGGAGCTACCTGTCTCAACAGCTGCCTTACTTCTGGGAAGATGAAGTTATCCAATATGTAGGTATCATTTTAACACTATCCTCTAGAAGTCTTGCTGAAGATAATTATAAACCTCTTATTACAAAAAATAACTAATGAAACTCATTGATTCTCTTGCTGTGAACTCACATGGATGGGCAGACTAGCTAAATTCAAGATGATGATACTGCCCTAAATCCTATTTTTTATTTAGAACTTTTCCTGTTAAATGCGAATACCTTCAATCCTTAACCTACTTCCTCAAAATATTTGTTTGGCAAAACAAAAGTGCTCATATGCAAATCTTATTAAAACATTAAAGGCTGGAGTAGTCAGCTTTGTGGATATTATGGATTATTACTATGCCTTGTTGCTTACTCAATTGAAGTATTGGTTTTACCTGACACCTGATAACTAGAGATGAGCGAAGAATTCAAAAATTCGATTCGGCGAATTCGAGGAATAAATTTGATTCGATGCGAATATATTCGCTGCGAATTTAACTTATAAAAAGGGTGTTTCTAGGCTTCAGAGAGCCTTTATATTAGTGCAGAACACTGTACCCTTAATTTAAATGCCCTTGGAGTCTGCTGGGGAAGAGAAATAATACTGTCAGTCAGTATGACATGCAGATGAGTGCCGTCGATCTTAGAATCACCGCACACTTCACTCATTTGGGCAGTCACGGGGCCAAAACCAGAGTGTGGAGCCACAGTGTGGCGGTGGAGGCAGCAGCAATGGGAGGCCATACAGCACCCTATGACAAAATGGAACCCACCAGCAGTGTGAGGAGACCTGAAAGTGGCACATGGCAGAGTGTGGTGATGGAGACAGCAGCAATGGGAGGCCGTACAGGGACCCATGACACACTCTGGACCTGGCAGCAGCATGAGGAGGCGGGTACAGGGGCCCATGACAGATTACGGGCCTGGCAGCAGCATGAGGAGTCGGTACGGGGGCCCATGGCAGATTACGGGCCTGGCAGCAGCAATGGGAGGCCCGTAATCTGCCAGCACCCTATGACAAAATGGAAACCAACAGCAGTGTGAGGAGACCTGAAAGTGGCACATGGCAGAGTGTGGCGATGGAGACAGCAGCAATGGGAGGCCGTACAGGGGCCCATGACAGATTACGGGCCTGGCAGCAGCATGAGGAGGCGGTACAGGGGCCCATGACAGATTACGGGCCTGGCAGCAGCAATGGGAGGCCCGTAATCTGCCAGCACCCTATGACAAAATGGAAACCACCAGCAGTGTGAGGAGACCTGAAAGTGGTACATGGCAGAGTGTGGCGATGGAGACAGAAGCAATGGGAGGCCGTACAGGGACCCATGACACACTCTGGACCTGGCAAGCAGCAAGAGGAGGTGGTACAGGGGCCCATGACAGATTACGGGCCTGGCAGCAGCATGAGGAGTTGGTACGGGGGCCCATGGCAGATTACGGGCCTGGCAGCAGCAATGGGAGGCCCGTAATCTGCCAGCACCCTATGACAAAATGGAAACCAACAGCAGTGTGAGGAGACCTGAAAGTGGCACATGGCAGAGTGTGGCGATGGAGACAGCAGCAATGGGAGGCCGTACAGGGGCCCATGACAGATTACGGGCCCTGGCAGCAGCATGAGGAGGCGGTACAGGGGCCCATGACAGATTACGGGCCTGGCAGCAGCAATGGGAGGCCCGTAATCTGCCAGCACCCTATGACAAAATGGAAGCCACCAGCAGTGTGAGGAGACCTGAAAGTGGTACATGGCAGAGTGTGGCGATGGAGACAGAAGCAATGGGAGGCCGTACAGGGACCCATGACACACTCTGGACCTGGCAGCAGCAGCATGAGGAGGCGGTACAGGGGCCCATGACAGATTACGGGCCTGGCAGCAGCATGAGGAGTTGGTACGGGGGCCCATGGCAGATTACGGGCCTGGCAGCAGCAATGGGAGGCCGTACAGGGACCCATGACACACTCTGGACCTGGCAGCAGCATGAGGAGGCGGTACAGGGGACCATGACAGATTACGGGCCTGGCAGCAGCATGAGGAGTCGGTACGGGGGCCCATGGCAGATTACGGGCCTGGCAGCAGCAATGGGAGGCCCGTAATCTGCCAGCACCCTATGACAAAATGGAACCCACCAGCAGTGTGAGGAGACCTGAAAGTGGCACATGGCAGAGTGTGGCGATGGAGACAGCAGCAATGGGGCCGTACAGGGACCCATGAGAGACTCTGGACCTGGCAGCAGCATGAGGAGGCGGTACGGGGGCCCATGGCAGATTACGGGCCTGGCAGCAGCAATGGGAGGCCCGTAATCTGCCAGCACTCTATGACAAAATGGAACCCACCAGCAGTGTGAGGAGACCTGAAAGTGGCACATGGCAGAGTGTGGCGATGGAGACAGCAGCAATGGGAGGCCGTACAGGGACCCATGAGAGACTCTGGACCTGGCAGCAGCATGAGGAGGCGGTACGGGGGCCCATGGCAGATTACGGGCCTGGCAGCAGCAATGGGAGGCCCGTAATCTGCCAGCACTCTATGACAAAATGGAACCCACCAGCAGTGTGAGGAGACCTGAAAGTGGCACGTGGCAGAGTGTGGCGATGGAGACAGCAGCAATGGGAGGCCGTACAGGGACCCATGAGAGACTCTGGACCTGGCAGCAGCATGAGGAGGCGGTACGGGGGCCCATGGCAGATTACGGGCCTGGCAGCAGCAATGGGAGGCCCGTAATCTGCCAGCACCCTATGACAAAATGGAACCCACCAGCAGTGTGAGGAGACTTGAAAGTGGCACATGGCAGAGTTAACATGCATGTTTGGGGCATGATTCATGGCGGATTTAGTCAGTTGTGTCAGGAACTGGTGGTTTGTTGAAATCCAGACTAATCCACGCCTGATTCATTTTCACAAACGTGAGTCTCTCCACACTTTGGGTGGACAGTCGTGTCCTCCGCGGAGTTACAATACCTCCTGCCGCACTAAACACGCGCTCCGATGCCACGCTACTGACCGGGCATGACAGCCTTTCAAGGGCAAATTCAGCTAGTTGGGGCCAAAGGTCAAGTTTCGTTGCCAATAGTCAAGGGGATTGTCTACCTCGGTTGGCAGGGTGCTGTCCAAGTAGGCCCAAGCCTGTTGTTTGAGGTCCTGCTCCACGTCCACCTGATGCTGCTGCTGCTGCTGCTGCGGGGTTTTAGTAGTTTCCTCACTGCGCTGGTGAAGAAAGCTACTCATCATCGACTGCAGACTGAGGCAGCCGCTGCTGGTGGAGCTGCCACTGCTCCTACCACCCCACCCCTCCCCCCTGCTGCCATGGCAGCGGAACGCGAGCGCACAGGGCCCACAGTGTCTGAGGAGTATGGACGTTGGCGCAGAAAGGCAGAGACCAACTGACTACATAGGTGGTTTTTATAGTACGTTATTTTGGCCTCCCTCTCAGCAGGTGTGAAAAAGGCAACCATTTTTGAACGGTAGCGAGGGTCCAACAAGGTGGACAGCCAAAAAGTCATCCCTCTGTCTGATGGTTATTATTCGGCTGTCGCTACGCAAGCAACCGAGCATGCTATGGGCCATTTGTGCCAAGGAATGCGAGGGACTCCCTGCCCGGTCCATCTCCACAGCATACTGCCACGGTGCGTCTGGGTCCTCTGTCTCCTCCTCCTCTACACCAGATGCTCCTGCTCCTCCACTCCTGTCCGCTGAGTGGAAAAAACCACCCATTTCACTCAATAATTCCTGAGCACCAATGTCCTCCTCTACCTCCTCCTCTTCTTCCTGTCCTGCCCCCACAGGGGTCATGTGGCGTTGAGATCTGTGCGCCACGTCTACCGCACCCTGACCAGCCATTGTTAACAGCATTTGTTCCAGGACGTGCAACAGAGGAATGACGTCGTTCATCCCATAGTCCTGCCGACTCACGAATAGCGTGGTCTCCTCAAAGGGCCTGAGCAAGCGGCAGGTGTCACGCATGAGCTGCCAATGGCTGACATCTAAGTTACACAGGGGAGTACCTTTATCCGCTTGTAACATCAGGAAATCGGTCATGGCCTTTCGCTGTTCGTAAAGGCGGTCTAACATATGTAGTGTTGAATTCCACCTTGTTGCAACGTCGCAGATCAGGCGATGCTGTGGAATTCCGTTCTGCCGCTGCAGCTCAAGGAGGGTGTGCTTTGCGGTGTAGGAATGGCTGAAATGCATGCAAAGTTTACGTGACATTTTAAGGATGTCTTGCAGTGGGATGGTGGATTTTAGGAACCGCTTGACAACCAGATTGAACACGTGAGCCATGCATGGCACATGGCACAACCTTCCTTGACGCAGAGCAGGCACCATGTTCTTTCCGTTGTCGGTCAACATGGTTCGATTTTCAGTTTGCGCGGAGACAGCCATCTGTCGATTTCTCTGTTCATTACACTCAAGAAGTTCCTTCCCCTGTGTGACTACGTTCGCCAAGGCATACCAGGGCCGCAGCACAGCGTGACACCGTTGCGCCCTGCACATGTGATATGCTGGTCGGGTAATGGGACTTGGCACGGGGGTGGCGGCTGAGGACACGGCGGAAGAAGAGGTGGTAGAGGCGGACATCTTTGCTGGACCAAGGACGTGCAAACGTGGAGGCAAAAGCGGCGTGACCTGTCCAAGTTGCTGGTGCGGCTGTGCCGGCACCCACGTTCACCCAGTGGGCCGTAAATGACATGTACTGTCCCTGACCGTAGTTACAGCTCCACACGTCGGCGCTGCCGTGCACTTTGGCAGAGACCGACATGCTCAAAGACTGGCCCACCATCTCTTCTACATGTGAATGCAGGGCTGGCACTGCCTTTTTGGCGAAGAAATGCCGGCTTGGCACTCTCCACCGCGGCGCGGCACAAGCCATCATTTCTCGGAAAGGTGCTGAGTCCACCACTTGGAAAGGGAGGGACTGCAGCACCAGCAACTTGGACAGGAGGACGTTCAGCTTTTGCCACCGTCGGGTGCGTGCTCGCAAACTGTTGTCTCTTGGAAACGGATTCCAAGAAAGACTGCTGACGGGAATCCGTGAAGAGGAGTAGCAGGAGAAGGAGCATCTGAACGAGCGGAAGATGCCAACGAGCGACAACTGCCCCTCAGCAGAGGTGTTGGAGCCTTGACTGGCTGATAGAGGGCGATTGACGTCGGGTGACGGAGCAAGTAACGGAGCGGGTGATGGAGCGGGGGCTGGGGCAGGCAGAACCGCCGTATCTTTATCACGGTTTTCCCAGGCACCAAATGGCGACGCTGCATATGCTGATGCAACAACGCTGTAGTCCCAACATGGGCCCCCTGGCCACGCTTGACTTTCTGCCACATAGTCGACATACGGCTACGTTTACTTCCTCAGGCGGCTTGATGACGAAAAATTGCCACACCGCCGAGTAGGAAACTTTGCCCCCGCTACTCCTCACTGGCTGACTGCTACTTCCTCCGTGCACACCGGCACCACTACTGGCCGTGGTGGTAGGCTGCAGTGGAGCTGGTGCTCTACTCCGTGGCCGTTTGCCTCCACTGACACTGCTGCGACCCTGCTGCCTCCTGGGCAACCCACCGACTGTTTTGAGTAACGCTCGCTGCCAAGCTGCACCCTCTTCTCCTGATGATGCGGAAGCAATAGCCTGATGACGACGAGGCTGCCAAGTGCGATCAGCCTCATCATCATCAATTAGGGTCTCCGCCTAACTACTAGCCCCCTCGGCTGCGTGTGGGTCAGGAGACAGACCTGTCTCTAGACCGGCTACCGAGCCACTCTCCTCGCCACTACTTCTTCGCCTGGCTGCTGAAGAGGCGGATGTCTCCCCCCGTTCCTGACCGCCCTCTGTTAGCTCTTCCTCCACTGTACAGTGGGGCTGAGCCCACAGCATACGATACTTCGCTTGGTGAGGGAACACCAAAGGACAGGGGCAGGTAAGAGGACACGTGATTTCAGTGGGCTTGCTCCCGGGTCCATGCCAACTAACGGTTGTGTCTGACGTACCCACCGACCGTTGGCTGTAGGTGTCAGAGGTGACCTGGGAAGAGGAAGACGACCGAGCCCACCAATCGATGACGGCAGGGTTTGTCGGTGGAGACACGACCGCTGGATGACACCGGAGCACTGGCCTCTGGCTGCGAACTCATAGTGCTGCCTCGACCCCTTCCTCTGCTGCCACGTCTGCTCGCTCCTAAAACATTGCCTCCTCTGCCCACTCCTCATGCATGTTGTCTGACATACTCTTTAATTGAGTAACGATTCTGTGTCCCTGAGTAACAATTCTGTGTCTGTCCCTGAGTAACAATTTCTGTGTCCCTGAGTAACAATTCTGTGTCCCTGAGTAACAATTCTGTGTCCCTCAGTAACAATTCTGTGTCCCTCAGTAACAATTCTGTGTCCCTCCCTGAGTAACAATTCTGTGTCCCTCTGAGTAACAATTCTGTGTCCCTCAGTAACAATTCTGTGTCCCTGAGTAACAATTCTGTGTCTGTGTCTTCTGTGTCCTGAGTAACAATTCTGTCTGTCCCTGAGTAACAATTCTGTGTCTGTCCCTCAGTAACAATTCTGTGTCCTGAGTAACAATTCTGTGTCAGTAACAATTCTGTGTCCCTCTCCTCAGTAACAATTCTGTGTCCCTGAGTAACAATTCTGTGTCCCTCAGTAACAATTCTGTGTCCCTCAGAGAGTAACAATTCTGTGTCTGTCCCTGAGTAACAATTCTGTGTCTGTCCTGAGTAACAATTCTGTGTCCCTCAGTAACAATTCTGTGTCCCTCAGTAACAATTCTGTGTCTGTCCCTGAGTAACAATTCTGTGTCTGTCCTGAGTAACAATTCTGTGTCCCTGAGTAACAATTCTGTGTCCCTGAGTAACAATTCTGTGCCCTGAGTAACAATTCTGTGTCCCTCAGTAACAAATTCTGTGTCCCTCAGTAACAATTCTGTGTTGTCCCTGAGTAACAATTCTGTGTCCCCTGAGTAACAATTCTGTGTCCTTATGTACAAATTCTGTCCCTCAGTAAACATTCTGTGTCTGTCCCCTGAGTAACATTTTACTGTTGTCTGAGTAACAATTCTGTGTCTGTCCCTGAGTAAGCAATTCTGTGTCCCAGTCTGAGTTGCGTAACAATTCTGTGTCCCTGAGTAACAATTCTGTGTCTGTCCCTGAGTAACAATTCTGTGTCTGTCCCTCAGTAACAATTCTGTGTCCCTCAGTAACAATTCTGTGTCTGTCCCTCAGTAACAATTCTGTGTCCCTGAGTAACAATTCTGTGTCCCCTGAGTAACAATTCTGTGTCCTTTGAGTAACAATTCTGTGTCCCTCAGTAACAATTCTGTGTCTGTCCCTGAGTAACAATTCTGTGTTTCTGTGTCCCTCCAGTAACAATTCTGTGTCTGTCCCTGAGTAACAATTCTGTGTCCCTGAGTAACAGTTCTGTGTCCCTGAGTAACAATTCTGTGTCCCATGAGTAACAGTTCTGTGTCCCTGAGTAACAA